GCTTGTACTAACCCAGACTTAAGTTGGTTTTATAGTGCTAGTTCACTTAGATACCATGCCGCAGTTAAGCATGAATACCCCGCTCAGACACATTATACTGACTCCGAGCCGACCAGTCCTTGTTGTACCCATTAATGCCGAGCGCCAGGCAGGGACCAACAAGTACCATATTTTAACGTCTTTTGGTATGACGTGGCCGGGGATCGAACCCGCGACCTTGCGCTCTCCGGACGGACGCTATAACCACTACACAACGGAGACAGCCGGTAAAACAGACGATTACCAATAACTGATGAATTTTCACAGATTCTAAATGTGTAATGAAAGGATACTGTGCATGGAAGGCGATGAAAGGGGAAAGCGCAACCAACCACCTCGTTGGAAAATCCAAATACGGAACCTCAGAACATGATCTCCAAATGAATATATTTTGTATTAGTGAAATACAACTATATTTTCAATGGTTTAGAATTTATGCAAAGAACAGAACACGAACTGCCCAAAAGATTGCATTCCCATTGTCAAAGATTGGGAAGCCTTGTTGAAAACTGCAGCTTTCAAAAGTCGACGTGGAATTTCTGTTTAAGTATTTGGGTGTAAGCTGAAGTCTGTCAATACACAACTCGTCTATCTGCATGCTTTGAAGCGTGATCAGTATGCATCTGCTGTCGTCCGTGTCTAGTCTTGATCTGATGTCTGTGGTCCGATGCAAAAGTGCGTTAATAAATCGATGTTTATAGACGACTTTACGTCTTTGAATTCAAAGATATTTTCAAAATTTAATGACATTCGCCTTTTGTATACAGACACAGTTGTGTCGAAGCTGAAGGGACCAACGCAAATATTTCGAGTTATCCGATTCTCGGCGAAAATATGAATACAGTAGTCATAATTAAGGAGCAAATTCGAGAGTTTGACACATGAAAGTTCCAGACAAAAGTGTTAGCCTGGACTGAAGGTTACACAAGATACTCCATGCTCCTTCGTACACGATAATCATAATGATGCAAGAGGTCATTGTAGTTAAAAAGACAGAATTCTGGTATGAGGTTTGAGTCACTTTATGTCTTTACTTAGTGCAGATCAAGATGGGTCTGGTCATTCAAATGAGGATAGTGATGTATATTTGCTTGATGATCCTATTACTCAGCAGGAAGGTTTACGTCAGATAGTGAATTCTGCTAATAATAGATCTCCAGGCCAGATGGTGTTGCTGCTGAATGAGTAATTTCTTTCTTTGAACTCAGTATTATTCCACATTTAGGAACACAACTCTGCACAGCAAATTGCGATATCGTTAGCAAATGGTCCACCTGTGTTCCCAGAGCGAATAATGGTTCAAAAGGAAAGTATCCCGTTTCCCAAATAGTATCTACTATAAAAACGTCTAGTCATCCCATTGTACAATATCTTACTCACCTTTTAATCATATTAATGATAGTGGTAAATTTCCATCTTGTTTGGGGGTAAAAGCATTATATGTCTGCTTCATAAATCTGGTTGCAGAGATGATACTAATAATTACAGGGGAATTTCTCTCACAGATTCCACTTGTAAGGTGTTTATGTCTATTCTTAATCGTCACCTTCAACGATGGTGTGAGGTTCATAATATTACCAGTGAATCACAGGCTGGTTTCAGGGCTGATTATTCAACGATTGACCATTTTTTCATTGCAGTCCTTAATTTACAATTGTATTAGCAAAAAAGGGGGAGATTTTATTGTCTCCATCAAATATTTTTTCTTGTGAAATCGGTACTCGTCAAGGCTGTGTTTTGAGCCCTCAGATCTTTATTATTTTCATAAATAAGTTATGCAGTCTTATGGAGTTGGAAAGAGGTCAAGGTATTGCAGTTTCTTCTTCTATTAGCAATCTCTGTTCTCTTATGTTTGCTGATGATGTGTCAGCTACACTTGTGCACAGTTATGTTTTGAAACTTGAAAAATCCACCTGTAACAACATGGCCTTGAGTGAATGTGGAAAATCGCCTTTACAGCTTATTTATATAACCAATGCTGTGAAATACTGGTGTAGACTTCTAAACATGCCTGAATATAGATCACCAAAACAATATTATTTTATGTTATTATCTTTAGACTGGGTAGGACGAATATCATGGACAACTAATATAAAAAATATTCTTTTTCAATTTGGTCTTGGATTTGTTTGGATAGGCCAGGGAATTTGGTGATCACAAAACAATTATTAAATCATTTAAACAGAGATTGCATGGTAATTTATTCCAATCTTGGCAAACGTCTTTGGATAGCAGCCATAAATATTTTCAAATTCAAATCTCTGCTCAATGTAGAGAGCTACTTGGTAAATAATGATATCACTCAATATTTAAACAATATATGCCCGATTTCGGTGTTGTAATTTTAAACTAGCAGTTGAAACTGGTAGATACATTAATGGTGCATATAATGAAAGTTATTTCCTGTTTTTCTTAATTAAATGGTATTTTCGTTGTTGAAGACAAATGGCATGTGTTTTATATATGTGATGCATATTCTCATTTCAGAAATAAGTACATAAATATATTAGCATATGTCCACCAATTATTAAATTTAAATCTGTATTACAGAGTAAAATGTTAATATCATCAACAATGTATTTCGATTTTTATACTATGTTGACAAGAAACACAAATCTAAATGAAATGCATTATATGTTCTTTCATTATCCATCAATTTATGTATTTTGGGCCGGAGGCCAGTGACTGAAATAGAATTCTGTTTTGTTCTGTTCGGTTTGAGTCTTAAAAGGTTAATTACAAGAAACGTCACATCCTCAATAGATCTCCGTAAAACATTAATTATATAAATACTCGATGTATTACGATTGTAATTCTATAAACTCTATTTCTAGTGTACCTTTAATCTTTGTTTCTTTAGGACCCGTAAAGGTCCGCTTAAGATTATTGATCTTCAGTAACCCATGCGTGTCGTAAGAGGCGACTAACGGGATCGGGTGGCCAGGCGCCCTGACTTGGTTGACACATTTCGTTGGTTCCCAATTGTGCAGATCGATGCTCATGCTGTTGATCACTGTATTGTCTAATCCAGACTCGATTATTTACAGACCGCCGCCATAAAGCTGGAATATGGCTGAGGGCGACGTAAAACTAAACTCTCTCACTCACTCACTCACTTTGTTTCTTTATTGTAACATGCTGCAACAAAGCAAATTAAAGCCTAAATAATCGTTTCTGGACCAGACATACCAGTGGTTGACTTCAGAAACAAATACCTAACGTCTGAGGATCTAGTGTTTGAGGAAAAGAGTTATTTATTTGTTTTTTAGCTTTTAATACAAAAAAACTATTCCAATTAATTCTTTGCAGTTGGCCAGCTGAAAATGTCAGATATATCAGTTGAGCCATTTTTGAGAACTAAAAAAAATGTTTCACGTTAATGAACGCCTTGACAACCAGGTGAACTAAAGACAAAACAACAAATCAACACAAGGACGAAAAGAAGTGTGAATTGAAATTAAAACCAATGGAAATCTGTTGTTGCTAGGTTATACAAAAATATTTCATTTGTCGCTCTACATGCACATATATAAACTTAGCACCAATCGATTAGATTATACAGAAAAGTATTGATCTGCTTATTGATGTTGAACTGTTCCAAGTGCAATTCAAGCAAATAACAAACTCTAACAAGCTGTAACAAACAATAGGGTATTGGAGAAGTTTGGCCACGGTTGGCTGATACTCTGGATAACCTAATGATTGTGACATTAGGTCAGTTGGTACTCGTCATTTCAGGAAAAGCTAACTTAGACAATATCGACAAAGGCATGTTCTCACTGTCCAGGTCCACGATGCAAGGTGTGTTTCAATACCACGAAAAAGCTTAACATCCGAGAAGCAAGCAGGGAAGACCAAACAACACTAGCCTAGCTGAAAAAAGATTTCAACACTCCATTGTGACATAAATGCCATAATTAATGCCAATATTTACTTTATAAGGAGACAGGAAACATTCGCATAAATGCAAACATGGAGATTGATTGAAGACAAAATGTTGATTATTCAACTGCGGCAGTCCCAAACATAAACATTAACAGGGATGTGCCATTGTCGATAGGCTTTATACTCTTATTTCTGAAATGTTTGGAACCCACAGACACATTGTGGCTTCATACCGGGAGAAACCGCCTTCGTGGTGTAGTGGTTAGAGCGTCCGCCCAGAGAGCGGAAGGTCGCGGGTTCGATCCCCGGCCGCGTCATACCAAAAGACGCTAAAATATGGTACTTGTTGGTGACTACCTGGCGCTCGGCATTAATGGGTACAACATATATATACATACATACATGCATGCATGCATGCATGCACGCACGCACGCACGCACGCACGCACGCACACACACACACACACACACACACACACACACACACACACACACACATACATACATACATACATACATACATACATACATACATACATACATACATACATACATACAGGTTCGATCCCCGATCGCGTCATACCTGCCTGGCGCTCGGCATTAATAGGTACAACAAGGACTGGTCGGCTCGGGGTCTGTATAATGTGTCCGAGTGGGGTATTCATGCTTCACTGCGGCATGGTATCTCAGAGGGCTAGCACTATAAAACCAGCTTAAGTCTGGGCCAGTACAAGCAGCCGCACATACACATACACATACACACGCATGCACGTCGTCATATGAGCGAAATATTCTCAAGCACGACGTTAAACCCAATTTCACCTCACCTCACCTCACCTCACCTCATACCGGGAGACGTCATCAGCTGTCATCTGACTGAAGAGCTGTACATACGCACAGCTCTGCAGGGCTGTAATTGATTTTTCCCCTGTTTGAGCAAATAGCTTCGTACAGTCAAAAGTTCAATCAGAGCTGTTCAAATCAAATGAAAAATTAGCTGCATTGATTTCTTAACAATGAATGAGGCAGCTAGCACTGGTTTTGTATGGTCTTATCGACATTTCTAAATCAATTCGTTTTGATCAGATCAGCCCACAAAGACATATATTCAGTAAGGAACTGTACATATCTTTAGTTACCTGAAGACACGAAGATGGATGGACATGTATACATAATATTTGTTTTCAGCTTCTGCGGTTACAAGCGTCAAATTTTCACACAGAGAATGAGATCCGATACAGATTGTTGGTTGTTGAACACAACCGATTACTAATTCCACCTGTGTATCTCATTTTATAGACCAGAAACATGCATTTTATTCTCTTTACCGGAGTCTTAGTCCTATCTTGTGTAGGATTAATCTGTTGTGGCACTTGCTTCAACGCGTCTTCGGTTCTGGAGGTAGATGCACACATGGAACATTACGTATTTAGGAAAGTGAGGTCACCGTCCGTCTATTCCTGTGCCTCAGAATGTCTGATGTCATCAGTCTGCATGTCCTTCAACTTTGAGACTTGGACTCGCACCTGCGGACTCAACAGCAACAGCAGCAACGACGTGGCCATCACAAGCCACCCAGGATGTTTCTTTAGTGACATCAGATACTGGCCAAAGGTAAAGTTACTTTATTCTTCTTACAAACAAGGACATCGTAATATGAAATATTTCACAATGTTTTGGATAGTTAGATTTCAATTTCTTTGCCATAAACTTTGTTTCTCTTTTGACGCTAAACTCAACAATAGTCCAACCTTATGAGGACGGTCTGAAAAATGTTTGTGCTATTTAACAATGTTTTGGTAAATTGTGTTTGAATTTCTTTAACTCATTAAGCCCGAGAGCTACTTCACTACTCAACACCTGGAACCCCTCGCTGATTGCCCACTCGCTGTGCCGAGATTAATTAGTGCTAATCACACCTGATTTCCCTGGTAGGTTTCGGGGATGACAGGAAACTGTCTAGTCATACAAAGAAGTCCTGATTGTTTAATTGTGTCGTAAAGATATATGTTGGAAGAAAGCAGGTGTGAATACATATCGTGTATTGCAAAGTTTTATATAATTTTATTGCAAGCTTTTCTTGTGGACCTTTGGCGGCTTGTACATTTATATTTTATCACCATTTGCATGTATTCTTTGTATGTATGAGATGAGACACACAAACAAATTCTCCCTCTCATATCAGTGTGTGAGGTTAAATTTTACAAAACATCTATGACAATGACATACTGTAAAGATTAATTTACTTACATACTTTATCATCTTCGACGAAAATAGCGTTTTTGCCGATACATTTCTAGTGTATACGAATTATTTTAATGAAAGTACTATTACACTAGTCTGTGTCTAACAGAGTACATTCATAGCTTGGCACTTTGTTTCATCTAGATTTAATGCAGAAAACATACGTGACCATACAAACATACATATAAAAATGTATACTACATATTCCTTGCATAGAAATAAAAAAAAGAGTCACGTGATAGGGCGTCATCAAATTTCCCGAACAGAACGTTCGGTATCTCAACTGTTCAATATAGCGGCTGGTCATATGTTATCTGTGACCAATCGCATCATGAGATACCTGTCACAGAGGAAAGGACAGGTGATGGGGCGTTGGCGATATTTCTGAAGAGCACGCTTTGTCACTCAACAGCTTGGATAGAGATTGATTATTGGCTATATCGTTGACCAGTCGATATGCTTGATTTCGGCTTTATCAACTCAAGCTATCATGTAACAGGTTGTGTCTTGTAAACATACACACTGGTAACGATGTATGAAATATACACATAAGACAAATAGGAGTAGATAGACACTTTGGCGAGTTTATTTGACCTCATTTTAGTGTTTTTCGATACGTAAAACAAAGTGATTGAAATCCAACCACTGAGTAGAGATAGTATTTATTTACATATGGATTTTATGCACACAACTAGTACATAAAACATAATGGTTTGCTGTACATGTAAATATAATCTTCACCTTGATACAAATGAATATCCAAACTAAAGTACATGTATTACAGAATTCACGAAATGACAGTATACTGAATTATTATAGTGTATAAACTTGCAGTTGACCCCCACCCCTCCAAATAATTATGAAGGAGGGCGTGCCTATATTTATACTGAATGCAAACAAGGTTCATAAGATTACAGATGTGCATGCATGCATAAACATTACAGAGAGGGGCGTGACTCCATAAAGCAAGTTGTCCAATGATGTAACAGCGCATCTGTTTATTTTACACTTGTCACGGGACAAACCTTTCAACAAGGACGTAAATACATATGCATTCTACCGGAGGCTGTTATTTCAAGGTCGAAAGAGGTGTTCAATTATCTCATTACTGTAATCTGATTGAATGATTATACGCATGTGTATCGATACCGTAGCTGATATACTATCCAGCTTTTATTGACGATGGATCAATAGAGACTGAGTTCATTGATACACGTGATAATTACACCGGATTCGATAATTACAGAGATCAAATAGAAAATTGTAAATTGCATAGAAAACTTACAATTCAAATCAACATGGAACTTTCAATCTGGACAAAAATGCTTGAAATACCTTTGTATGGTTACATGTAATAACTTATGATATTACTGTGGTCTATGTGTGAGAACGTTTTGAATTACCAACTTACTGTGTTTTGTAATAAACGTAGTAAAAGATTTCATTGTTGTAATAACACTGACATGTATATAATTCGATGCAAAGGCGCGATATTCGATTAGGTAACATGGTCAACTTTAGATTATGGAACATCACTACAATATAGTAAGCTTCAAATTAGTAAGTTAAATTATGTCTAATCTATTCAAGCTTGGATATATAATTATTTGTGTTTATACATTATGTTTCATTATATGTTTCATTATATGAAACATGACAACGTTATAATACCTAAAATATAAATTCAAACTATTCTATTGTGTTTGAATTCTTTGTATGTCCTTGAAATTTCGTATATTGTTTCCTATTTAGGAAGCATAATCTTCAGTAACCTCTAAACCATTACATCTAATTCAATCAATGTGCATACGAAGTATTTTAGTATGAAGAATACCAGACACTTACCTCTGTAAAAACATCATAATCCCCTTTCTCGCCGACATGTGTTCATTTGCCAAACGCTGTACAAGCCTATGATAATGATTAGCAATTGTTATTAAAACACTTTAAATACTTCTTCTGATTGACACTAAAGGTAGCATCTCTCGCAAGAAAAGCTAATATTTGCTCAGTACTACTAAATTGGTTGAAATAATAGGTACAGTGCGATAAAAGTACAACACACATGTGCGTCTCTCGCTGAATAAGAGGTGCTTTCTGTTGACCAATATATGTGGCTCTCTCTCTGAGAAACTGCCAATTACCTGCCCCGTAAACACGTCTCTCGCTGTGAGGAGCTGATTAATGTGCCCCATATATGCGTCTCTCGGCCTTAATGAGTTAACGCAAAGCTAATTTCCCCACACGCCAAATTAAACAATAGGTGGTAGGGGTGTCTTTATATCAACTCATATTCCTGATGTATTTTCTCTGCTGTATTTTCGCTGATGATGTTTCAAGTGTAGCAGATACTGCGTTACAGCTTCAACAGAAAATTAATATTGTTGAAAAATTCTGTGCAGAGACAGGAATGGAAGTCAATCTGAACAAAACCAAAATTATTGTTTTTAGGAATGGTGATCCTCTCCGTTCTAATGAAAAGTGTTTTTTAGATAGTGAACAAATAGAAGTTGTGAACATGCTGTGTGTTCACTCCTAAGCTGTCATGGACTAAAGTCCAGTCTTGTTTAGCAGCCCAAGCAAGTAAAGTTATATTCACCATCTATAATTACCAAAACCATTTTGGATATATTAATCACAATGACATTTTAAAGATATTTGACTCCATGATTACACCTATTCAGCGTTATAGATCAGAGATGTGGGGAACCACTTATTGCAAACAAATTGAAACTGTACATTTTAAGTTTTATAAGACTTTTCTCAAAGTCAGCAAGTATACCAACAATATCATGGCGTTTGGAGAGTGTGGCAGACTCTCACTGCAATATCGCTATACCTCTAGAGCAGTAAAGTACTGGTGCAGACTGATGCAGCTTCAGCACCATAGACTTGCTTAGCAAGCAAGTCCAAATGCTTCAATCTCTTGATGATAATAATAAATCTACCTGGGCATCACATATAAGAATAATTCTTTTTCAATATGATTTTGGGTTTGTATGGATCTCGCAAGAAATTGGCTGTATTAAAACATTTATATCTAACTTCAAGCAACGATTGTATGACTGCTTTCTTCAATATTGGCGCTCCTCACTTGACTCTTCATCTAAATGTAAATACTGTTCACAATTTAAATCTTTACTTAATGTTGAACACTACTTGTTCTGTGATCTCCAATCATATCAGCAGAAAGTTAAAGCTATGTTCCGCTGTAACAACTTTAGACTAGCAGTGGAAACCGGTCGCCACACAAATGCACCCTATGATCGACGTCTCTGCCTCTACTGCCACTCTGTTGGCCTAAACTATGTTGAAGACGAGATCCATATCCTACTTATCTGTAGCAAATATTCTGAAATAAGAAAGCAGTGTTTCACAACCCACCAGACCTACCCTGCAACAACATAAATAATAAAGAAACATTAAGTACATTTATCATCCAAAACTGTGTTCCACTGGAGATATCGCTTGTGTGAGATCAAACGATATCTCCTAGGAGATATCGTTTTGACAGTAGATTTTGTACAATGCCCTGACAATGCTATGACGTCATGTACTTGATGACGTCACAATGCTATGACATCGCTGCACTGCAAGTGTAATGGCAGTACTGTGTTGAGAGATGTACATATTTCATTGAAAATTAATGAAAAGTGATTTTGGATGATAAATAGAATCTCACCCTCGTGTCTTCTGATATCAAATATATCAACACTCGTTGATAAAAGTTAAAATATCCTCGGCAAGCCTCGGATATTTGCAACTATATCAACTCGTGTTGATATAATTGATATCAGAAGACACTTGGGAGAGATTCTATATTTCTCTCCGCTGTATTAAAACTAAGAAGTAAACCCACCACTACAATCAACTGACCTTGTATTTCAATCGTCATCCTACATCCAGCATGTATGTATTATTTATATTTGCATTATGTTGTATTATGGGCCAATGAAAAAATTTATATCTGTCTGTCTGTCAAAATATGTTTCCACAGACGAAATATTTCTCCCTGTAGTTATCTATTGATTTTGTGTAAGATGCCCACTTAGATATCACTTAGAAATGTGAGATACTGGTTTTGAAAGATTTCGCCGAGCAGAATTTCCACAACGTTATTTTTTTTATTGGATGCATCCTAACCACATGAATGCATTGTTTCAAATAGTTACTTGCTGGCGCCTGTTCGGAGACTCCTTGTCCAATGTCCAGATGTCATGTAGATCGACTGAGTCGTGTATCATGTGAAACAGGTAAGTAATTGACTGTAAAAGATATTCTTCTTCTTTGTTCATAAAATGTTACTGAAATCATTCGGCTTGAAATCATGTAACAAAATAGGTCATTCTACTTTTTTGTTCATAAAAGTATGTTGACATCATTCGGCTTGGGCTGAAATCATGTAGAATCATAAGAAGATGCTTGGATCAATTTACCCCAGGACAGAGTGTCTGCGTGAGGAATGAGTGAGTGAGTGAGTTCAGATTTAACGTCACATCGGCAATATCTCAGCCAATCGTGACGAGAACAATGTCATTAATATCAATATAAAAAACAATAAATTGAGAAAATAAAAACCTGTCATCTAAGGACAGTAAAACTACTAGAATATCACAGCTCTTAATTTAAAACTAGTACGCTTTCATTAATATATATCACTACAGATACCAATACAATATAAAACGGGGCTATAGATCACCAGCAACTGAAGGTAGATCACCATACTAGGGACCATGGGGACTTACGGTACTTTTGCTACCTGCATGGACCCTAGCAGGATTTACATCATCTCTTCAGCAGCTGTCAATTGTAGGAATAATTATCCAAAATTAAAATAACAAAATTACTCCGTTTTAAAAAAAAATGGTAAATTTATATGTACATTGAAAATTTTGGGACTTACTTACCCTCTCAGGAAGACAATAATTTTACAGTACTTTACACCACCCCACCCCCCACCCCCCGATGATACAGCCACTAACAATCTGAGTTACTAATGTAAACTTCCATTCATAACATATTTATTTATTTACAAATCATTTAACAAATCTAATTATTTTAAAAATACAATAACTAGATAAGAACTTATATTATTAAAAAGATCCTTCATAGTTCGTGATTTGAAATAGTTATCCCTTGTGATGGAATATTCAACACAGTAAAGCAAGACATGTTTGATCGTGATTCGTTCATTAAAAGAGAATCGGAAAAGAATATGTATTGTTTATGTTTAGCGTGTCTTTGAATATATTTAAGAGCCGTTAATATGGCGTTTGCTTCTGCTGTAAAAAAAGAGATGTTATCCGGTAGTCGAGAAGATATTGTTCTGGATCCAATGACAGTGGCCATGCCACAGCGCCACCATCCTTGAACCCATCTGTAGATAAGGATTTGTATGTATTATATTGTATTTTTATGTGATTATATTCTTGTTTATATTGCAATTCATTTGTTTCTGATCTCTTAAACTTTGTTAGAGTTAGGTCAACTTCAGGCCTCACTAGTTGCCAAGAAAGTAGACGGGAAGGAGCTATATTTTCCAGCTCAATGCCGGCAGCAGAAATGAATGGTTTAATTCTTAAACTAAGAGGCGGAACAAGAGAAGACTTTTTGTTGTAGAAATCCTCATAAATAGGATTGAAAAAACAGTTAAATGCAGGATTAGGCTCGTTAGAATAGACTTTTGTTGTTATATATACGACGTTGGTTAAGTGATGGCTCATCAGTCTGAACATAGTGACTGTCAACAGGAGAAGGCCTTGGTGGTGGACAGAATAAAGAAGTTGTAGGTTGCTTTTGCAGGCTCCACCATATACGATGGAGCCACAATCAAGTTTAGATCGCACCAATGATCTATATAGGTGAAGGAGGGTAGTTTGATCCCCTCCCCACTTTGAATTTAACAAATCAAGTGCCTTCTGGAATTTAGCTTTAAGGGATTTAATATGTGGTAGGAATGTCAAATGGGAATGAAAACTAAGACCCAAGAATTTGGCCTCCTTCACAACTTTGATGGGAGTGCCATTTAAAAATAGTTCAGGGTGCTTATGCGGTTTGTATTTACGGCAGAAATGTATTGGATTTGGATTTAGAAAATTTGAAGCCGTTTTCAAGACACCATTTATTTATTTTGTTTAAACATAACTGCAGTTGCCCTTCAATAGTATGCATATTTTTACAACAAGAAATATTAAAATCATTCACAAATAATGATCCATCAATTGAATCATTTAAAACCTTTGGTAAACTATTGATATTAATGCTAAACAGTGTGACATTCAAAATACTGCCTTGAGGGACACCCTGATCCAGATTGTAATGATCAGACAGGGTTGAACCCACTCGGACTTGAAATTGCCTGTCTTTTAAAAATTGTGATATAAAAAGAGGCAAACGGCCTCTCAAACCAAAATCATGTAAATCCTTCAAAATGCCATGCTTCCAGGTCAGATCATAAGCTTTCTCAAGATCAAAGAAAATTGATACAGCATGTTGTTTATTTACTATAGCATTTTTAACAAAGGATTCTAAACGTACCAAATGATCAATGGTACTGCGATCTTTCCTAAAACCACATTGAAGATTTGTTATAAGGTTATTGATTTGAAGATACCAGGTTAATCTATTATTCACCATACGTTCCATTGTTTTAGAGACACTGCTAGTTAGAGATATTGGTCTGTAATTCGACAGATCTGTATGATCCCTGCCAGGTTTTGGTATTGGGACTACAATGGCATTACGCCACGAGGGAGGAAAATTTCCGGTCGTCCATATTTGGTCAAATATATCTAAAAGTGTCACCAGATATGGTTCAGGCAAGTGTTTCAGTAGCTGATAATAAATATTATCATCACCCGCTGCAGTGTCATGAGCTTGCTCAAGAGCTGTATATAGCTCATGTAATGAAAACAGTTCATTTTAGTCTTTATCATTATTTGATTCAAAATTAACTTTTGTCTTTTCCTGTTGTTTCTCATATCTCTGAAACTCAGGGCCATAATTTGCCGATGAAAATGTTTTGGCAAGAGTTTCGCCAATGTTATCAGTAATTAAATTATCACCATCTTTAAGATTTTGAACAGCAGATTTTGAACCTTTGCCTTTAATTCTTTTAACCATGTTCCATACCTTGGACATTGGCGTACGTGGGTTAATTTTGGAGACATAGTTCCTCCAGGATTGCCGTTTGTTTTGTTTGAAGGTACGACGTGCATTCGCATTAAGTATTTTACATTTGTTTGGATGGCAGTTGGATGGTGACGGAAATAATTTTCTGCCTTTTTCCTCACTTTTCTGTCTACAATCTGTATTAAACCATAGCTTCCGTACATGTGGAGTTGTAGAGGACTTTGGTATACACTCATCAGCTATTTCATTTAAAAGGTCAGCAAAAGTCTGAATGGAACACAGTTACGTCACTGAAGCATTCAGGTCGGAGTTTCGATTTATATTTCGAAATAAAGACCAATTAACCTTTGGAGAATCAGATGGAGTTATTTCTGACAGGATAGTTGGGAAGTGGTCACTTCCACAAAGGTCATTGTGAACAGACCAATCAAATTGATTGAGGAGGTTAAAATCTGCAAGAGACAAATCCAGAGAAGAATAAGTGCCAGTTGCAGGATGCAGATAGGTGCTTGAACCATCATTATATATACACAGGTCATTATTGGAAATTAAATCTTCCAGTATTTTACCTTTAGTATTAGTGTTGGTACTGCCCCAGAGCGGGTTGTGCCCGTTTAGGTCACCCATAAAACGCAGGGCTTCGGGAGTTGATCATAGAGTGCTTGAAGGTCAGGCTGCTGAAGTGCCGATGAAGGAGGAATATATAGAGAGCATAACGTAAATGCCACACCCAGAGTAAATCGCACTGCAACAGCTTGGAGATTAGTGTTAAGTGCAACAGAACTGTGAATAACATCCTGTCGTATAAGGATAGTAGAACCATCAGTGGCCCTATCACCTTGGGGGATAATGATAGGCTTCAAACTGACGTAAGCTAAAATTATCTGTCTGTTTCATATACGTTTCTTGCAGACAGAAGACTGATGGTGTTAAATCCTGGATTAATAGTTGTATTTCATTAAAATTGGTCCGTAGTCCTCTACAGTTCCACTGTACGATAGTTTTAGAAAAACTTATCTCTTAGGTGGATTAATTCGGGATCTACCCCGCACATTTTTCGAGGGCGACATGCTGTGTGGCCTAGAATGGAACGTCCATGTCCACAAGTGATCCGTATTTGTTAAATAATTTTATTTTATCATCTGACCCTTTTGGGGCTCTGTCACTTTGTTTTAATTTAAGAATCTGGCTTCGGTTTGCTTTTGCTTTGTCGTTTGTGTTAGATTGAGACCTTTGAGTTGACTGAGATAATGTGTCACGGTCATGAGATGGTTCTGCCTGATTTGGGCCGTGACAGGAAGTGGTTCTGCAGTTTGTGTAGAGATAGCAGGTGACAAAATCTTAGGAGAATCGGTTTTGTACCAAGTTAAATTCGTCGGACAGCTTACATATGATTTGGCTATTGGAAGAGTTGAATCAGACGATGTTTTGGCTATGGATGTATAGGTTTCCATAATTTCAGATCTTAAGACAAGCTTTTTGGCACCAGGAAAACTAATGTTTTGGGTGAACTCTATCTTATTGATCTCCATCTGCTGTTTCCAGATCGGACAATCTTTTGAGAACGATGAGTGTTTGCCTGCACAGTTGGTACAGTTCTTAAAGTCACTGTCACAATCTTCTGTTGTATGGGTTTTTTCTCACCACATTGAGCACACACAACAGACAATGTGCAAGTACTAACACCATGAATAAACTTCTGGCATTTAAAACACCTTAAAGGATTTGGCATGTAGGTGTCAACATTAATGTGACAATATCCCGCCTTTACTGATCTGGAAGCATTTGGAGAGGAAAACGAAAACAGGTACGTGTTAGTGTGAATGGTTTCTTGGTTTGTACGTGTTGTAAAACGCTTAACGTGTGTGACCACTTGCTCTTTCATTTCTGAAACAATATCAAGTTCAGACATGTCGGCAAACAATCGATCTCGATCTCTGATGATTCCTTTGCTGGTGTTAAGTGTTCTATGAGGAGATACTGATACTGGAATGCCGACGAATGTTTCAGTAGTCATCAGGTTAGTTGCCTGTTGTCTTTTGCTGCACTCAACGAGCAATGCACCTGAACGTAAACGTTTGATATTTCTTACGTCACTGGCAATGCCTTGTATGTCTTTATGTATTGCAAAAGGGTTCAACTTTAATCTTGTGCTATCTTGAGTCTCAATTACGAGAAAACGTGGCCAGTAATCAATGAATGTGGACAGTCGTTGGTCGTTAACATCTGGATCAGTACCAAGTGGACGTTTCGTTTCTTTAAGTGGGGTTTCGTATGCCATAGTTAGTTTTTAATGGTTCATCATCCGAGCTCCCCACCCTCCACGGAGTATCACAAGGACAATACTAAACACAAGCGGATATCTGACTTGCAACATCAAGGATACTCGGATGATATACTCCAGCAGAAAAACTAAAAGATTAATTCTTCTACCAGATTGGCCCATGAGCCACCCCCTTCTGGCAGAAGACTCTAGGCAAAGTTCACAATAAACATATTACAAAAATCAAATGATGTTACATGAACAAAGGAAGCCAAGACCAAAATTTAAACAATTGCAAATCAAATTTGTGCAATGACATAAAATCCATGCACAGGGCCTGGCATGACCAGCCAATTGATTGAACCGGGCCCATTCAACCACCTGTCTAGGTGAAGTAAGGGGCGAAGTGGTGTGTTGGGCAAAGGAACACTGTTCCTGGAACCAGTGTCCTCGACCACCAGACTCCCGTCCTCCACCGACACAGGGGCGCAACACACGGCAAACAGGTTTCCCAATTCGGTCTAACGACCAGTACTGAGGTGCTGTGTACAAATATGCCCCCGGGCCCACACGGGGGGTTGAAGAGCTCTTAGCGTTACGCAGCACCCACCACGAGGAGGTGGCTCTTCACGGGTGCCCTTAGGGAATGAACGGGTGATTGTTCAATAAAACTAAACGAACGTAATAGATCCACATACACAAATGCATAGCTATATATATAGCTATTTCTGCTGTTCTCACAAGGCAAAGTTACAGTGAAAATGGCCAATGTTTTATATTAAAATCAATGTCAGTTTATCACGTACTCTTGACAGAGTTTCAGGGCTGTGGTGCTCCACCTACTGTTGCCAATGCTGAGGTGCATTATGATGGTGTGTACGAAGGAGCGGTTTCAGTATACACTTGCAGGGACAACTTCATGTTGTGCACCACAAGTAACAGCAGAATATGCCAGTCAACAGGACATTGGAATGGTTCTATTGGCTCTTGTGCTCAGTACATCTGGGACACCCCGGTAAGCTGGTTATGATATTAAAGTTTTCACGTGATGGAGAGGTGAGATGGACTCAATAATATCTACTACATAAAACCTGTGGACGATACCATAAGAAACTACAGAAACTAGTGCAGCAGTATGCAAGAGCTGGAAGAGCTGAATCGTATTTGATCTTTGGAATTTGGTCCGTTTCCATCCTTTTGTTGAAAAATAAGTGGTAAGACGATTGCATGTATCTCGACAGGACAGGGAAGAAATAATGTGAAGAAATATGATTTCATTCAACACCCATCACAAAATAACCAGATGCAGGAAACAAAAAAGGTTTACACACAACACCAAATGTACTGCCACGACAGAGATAGATTAAAGATAATAAACACTAATTAAGAGCAAAAAAAAAATATAGCCTTGAAATATTGATTATTGTATGGGCTAAACGTTTTTGCACAATTATGAACAACAAGTTCGCATATATTCGATATATAACGTGCGATAACAAGTGAGTATTGAGAAATGGGCGAAGAAATTACCGAATTTTATATGAAACGATTTCTTAGTTTCAACAGGGGATTGTCGTCCAGTTGGTCTTACCTTGTGGGAATTCCAGGAACTTCACTGTGGTTGTAAACGTCACGCCTACGGCCGGTACAAGGTAAAGTATTGACACTCCCAATTATGACACTACCAATTAATTTGACGAAACGAATTAGTGCACGCAATCAGGTATATAATGCCATTCCCTAACTCAAAATTAGCATTCGGTTTCACACACAGACCTCTAGGTTTCAAACGCATAAATTTGTTTCATTGATAACAGGAATGATACCATATCGAACAGAAAAGCTGGAAGAACCATAATATTGTTCTGTTGTCGATCTGGAAACATTTTCCTTAGTACACACTAGCAATTTCCCCCTCCTTTCAGAGTACAAATGGACTTTCGCAGAGGAGAGAATATATTGTGTCATATCGGCTTCCGACTGGATGAAAATAAGCTGGCATTCAACTCATTCACCTCTGGTGTTTGGGGAACACAGACTGATCTAAGCCCAGTCCCGTTAGCAGTGGGTACCGAGTCTCTGGTGGAGATACGACTTGACCAAGGAATGTACATGGTATGTTCTTTCTCACACATCATGTTCTCGCTTTGTCACGATCCGATTAAGTCAGCAATTACTCCGTCTGGCATGTGCTTTATGGGTGGACGTTTCTCTGATCGATAGTTACATACGAAATTGATGACCCGGTAACAAACATCCACCAAATGCTGTCTAAAATGTCCAATGCATTTCTGGGTGTTCCTTTTCGTGATGCAATAGTAGAACAGACTCTCGTACATGCAGAGTTTCCATACAATGCAAACATGACAATGGTTGTGTCTTTTCTGTTTATCGGTTGTGTCATTTCTTCGAAATGATTTGCTGTACAGATGAGTAAAGGGGTGTTATGCCTATTGGAAGCTATATCATGCCATGTCACATTACTCTGGGACGTGATCTTACGTTTTTGCCACGTACGCTTCTGAGAAGTCTATCAGCACGGCTGTAATCCTACCAAAACAAAAAAATAGTCAGTGTGCATTTGGATTACCGTGAATGTATCGCTAGATGCAACGTAGCACAGCGACGAACGTAATCATTTTGTGATTTTGCTCTCAATAAATGCGTACGTAATTCCCCAAACATTTCAAGTAAATTTAAGTCTATCAGGTTTTTAATCGCAGTATTTTTGTCATTTTAATGTACGGCTAAATCTCAGCATGAACGCCAATGGCTGAAGGGATGGTGTAAATCCAGCTAGGGTGCATGCAGGTAGCAAAAGTAATGTAAGTGCCCATGGACCCTAGTATGGTGATCTATCTTCTGTTGTTGGCGATAAATAGACCAGTTTTACATTGCATACATTGTCCAAAATAATTGTTCACATTTATATATATATGCTAGCTAGTTTTAACCCATTTTGTGATAATATAGTCATTTTACTGTCCTTCGTTGACAGGGTTTTATAAATTATGTGTATCTATGAATATAGAATTTGTTTTAGTCGCAAAAATGCTGAAATATTGCCGATGTGACTTTAAAACTTAACTCACTCACTCTCTCAATAAATGCAATTATGCAAACTATCATTTCTGAAAACGAATGACTTGCGAGTTTTACACTAAATTTTACTTCCGAGACATTGGGGGGACATTTTGACAATAACTAACGAGTGACGGAGAATGAAGATTATCTTTCCCGTGTTATACGAAATGCATGATTCTCGAGCCCTGGCGAGAAAATTGTATAAAAAATATAACGAGGGAAAGATATTCTGTCATTCCCCGTCACGAGTTGGTTTTTGTATTTATTACCCATATCAATTTGCAGTCTAAATATCGCTAACATAAAAACGTCATTCCTCTATGAGGATGTTGGGAATCCCTATATTCCAACGCGTTTGATGCGACTTCTTTCATTGGCTGGAATCAGCCAATCAACGTTCACCTAAAGGTGAAACTCCCTAGGGACTTACAGGAAAAATACTACCGTGTGTCCTCTTTCCCATGTGGGTAATAAGTGTTGTTCTTTTGTTCTTTAAACTTTAAACGAATATAAATTTCGGGTACGCATGATTGTATTATTATTTTCATTCTACTAATTTGAAAGCATATAATACCTTTATCTTTGTTCTTGTATGACGTCCACTATCAATACGTTTGTATGTTGTTTCTTGAACATGAGACAAAAGTATCATTAATGATACCAAAACGACGAATGGGTATGATTATATATTTGTATTTTTATTGACACAAAGCGATAATTTTTATACTTAAGTGATTTAAATTAGTGTCACGGTTGCACTGCATGTGTCAGATTCGATAATCGGAGCTGTACACAACACTGTAATGACATGAATTCATTCATTCTTTCAAAACCGTTTTCAAATGAATCAATGATATTTATGACAAACTAATAGGAACTTGAATACACTGGATAATAGAAGATGTTCCATTTGCTTCTTTGCAGCTTGCTGTAAATGGTTCAAGTATCCACAACTTCACAGACATGTACCCAGATGAGATCATAGAAGAAGTCTACGTCAGCGGGCAAGCCATCGTCTCCGCTGCCCACATCACAGTGTGACCTCAACACAGACTGACTCTCGGTAACAATCCCTGCGAAACGACAACATGCAACAGATTGGCTATCAATACATTACCTTTGATAAATATTTTCTATTGGAAGAGCAATGATTTTTCCTTTCGCAGACAACTGGAGCAACGCATGCCATTCTATCGCATACCAACGCCAATACCGGCGTCATGCTTAATGTCAGTTTTGGCTCACCCAACATTAAATGGGTACCCGGTAGGAAGATATACTTTTAACCCTCCATTGTCCATACGGCAGCATGGGATGTATACCCTCAAGGGAAATAACAATGGATATCGCGTACATGCTAATCCTAGCGCTTTGAGAATGGTTAGGGTGGATTTGGCGCACAACATAATCACAGTATTGTTAATTTCCAGACGCATCGTTTCAGATCATAATATCAAACCCGGTGAATTAAAAGTTAGTTCTGTTTAAGAAATACACTTCGCTCTAACACTATGTCTTGGGTAATAGAGCACGCTTTCGCCCTGAACTGTAATAGTTAAAGTACGCAGGCGTCCGAGTGCTTTAACGTTACAATAATTCAGAGCGAAAGTTTCACCCCTACGTTAAGCCGTGAGAACAAAATATAAACGGTTTGAAGACGGTTTACGTTCGGTTTAAATATCTTCTTTTTATCATCTTAGTTACATCTGTGACTAACGTAAATCGTATGTGGCAATATGAACGTCGCACTTCTACTACCAACGTAAGTTTAGATCAGTACATCCAGATGAAGCTGACAAGTCATGCGACATTCCAAGGTTGCATTGTGGGAATGTAAACATTGCGAACGTTGGTGTCGCTGTGTATAGAGAGTCGATCTGAGACTGTGATGATAGCCGGGTGAAGCAACTGCAAACCCCAAAACGGTTTGAGTTTACTGTAGGAATCTGTACGAGGCGAAGATTACTGACATGTACCGTGAGTGAGTTAAGATTTTAGGTCTCATCGGCACTATTTCAGCCATATCGTGACTAAATCAAGTTAAATATATATAAACAATTAAATGTAAATTATAAAATCCTGTCAAGGAAGGACAGTAAAACATTAGATTATCACAGATATAAATATAAAACTAGTAATTAAATCTAAAATATTTTAAATATATATTATTTATTGTTTATATTTACGGTGTTTATTAATATATTTAAGAGCTGTTAATATGGCGTTAGCGTCTGCTGTGAAAATAGAGCTGTTATTTTGTAGTCGAGAAGATATTGTTCTGGATCCAATGACAGTGGCACAAGCCACCGCGCCACCATCCTTGGATCCATCTGTAAATAAGGATTTATATGTATTATATTTACTTCTTAATTGACTAAATTCTTGTTTATACTGTAAATCATTAGTTTCGGATTTTTTAAATGTGGTTAATGTGAGGTCAACGTCTGGCCTCACCAATTGCCAAGGACGAGAAGGAGATATATTCTCCAGCTCAATTCCGGCAGCAGCAATGAATGGTTTAATTCTGTGTCCAAGAGGCGGAACAAGAGAAGGCTTTTTGTTATACAAATCCTCATAAAGAGGATTGAAGACACAGTTAAAGGCAGGGTTAGATTCGTTAGAATATAGTTTAGTAATATATTGTAAAGATAATTTTATACGGCGTTGGGTAAGAGAAGGCTCATCTGCCTCGACGTAGGGACTATCAACTGGAGAAGTTCGAAATGATCCAAGACAAAGTCTTAGACCTTGGTGGTGAACAGAATCAAGTAGTTTAAGGTTGCTTTTGCAGGCTCCGCCATATACGATCGAGCCATAATCAAGTTTAGATCGCACCAATGATCTATATAAGTGAAGGAGGGTAGTTTGATCCCCCTTCCCACTTGGAATTGGAGACAACCTTTAACAAATCGAGTGCTTTCAGGCATTTAGCTTTAAGGGATTTAATTTGTCGCAGGAATGTTAAATGGAAATCGAAAATTAGGCCCAGGAATTTGGCCTCCTTTACAACTTTGATGGGAGTGCCATTTAAAGATAGTTCTGGGTCCTTATGAGGCTTATATTTTCTACAAAAATGTATACAATTAGTTTTTGATTTAGAAAATTTAAAGCCGTTTTCAAGACACCATTTATTTATTTGGTTTAAACAATAAAACTAGTTAATAAACCTAAAATATTTAAATATATATGACAATACAATAAACAAACAGGCTGCAGACTGCCACCAACTGAAGGTAGATCACCATACTAGGTACCATGGAGACCTACAGTACATTCGCTTCCTGCATGGACCCTAGCTGGATTTACACCATCCCTTCAGCTGTCAGCAAGTTTAGACAATTTAGCGATACATTAAAGTAACACATATTCTACGGTTAGAAATAAAGGTATGTTTCAATGTACTTTGAAGAGGAGGACAATAATTTTCCCCAGAAAACCCCCTGTGAGGATAAAGCCACTCACAATCTCAGCTGCTCAATTAAACTACTAATTTTAAAATATTGATCTATTTACAAATAATTCAACAAATCGAATACTTTTAAAAATGCAATAACTAAATGAAAACTGATCCTTCATGGTTAGTGGTTTGAAATAGTTATCCCTTGTGATGGAGACATGCACCGTAACGTCGGTTACACAGGGAACGTTTGATAACGAGGGGGCAGACGAGAAAGGCGTAGTGCCGTTAACACAGTGTGACGTCATGCAAAAAGTGTCCTTTATCGCCTGACTACACAACAACTTTTCTCACAATATTTTTCGCCAGTCTCTGAAGCAGACATTTTTTCTCATTTCGTTTTGTCAATGAAAAATAGTTTGTTTCAATTGAGAAAAACATAACTTGTATTCGCATTTGCGAGACACTGATTTGTATTTGTGAGTATTGTATTATTATACCAAGAGTATAGCATGACATGGCAAGATGACGTTTTGTTTTATCCGCCCTGGCCCATGGAGTTATCTCCCTCCAGCTTGATGAATACTGAAGATGACTTTCAACAGATGTATTTGTCTCAGACTTATGCGAGGCTTATGTCAGACTTATGTTAGACGTTTATCTCCTTCGCCAACACTACGAGCATAATGCAGACAAGTGAGTGAGTGAACACTGCTTAACGTCCCCTCTGCACGTATTCACCGGGAGAGATATCTTTAGTTCAATTGTATGTCAACAACACAGTGCAAATCATGGTGACAATCACTAACATTTCAGTCAGTTATCCCATTCCAGGGCAACATATGACTGCTTTGATAGCAACGTATATTTTGTCATAGGGTTTAATTCCATTTATGTACTGTATTGTACTTTATGCACTGCCGTTAATGTCTCTGTGTGTTAAAATCAACAAGCGTTAAAGGAGTTTCACTGAACTCTTCAGCAAGGCTGTTGATTGTCATGTTAAAACTACTGATAAAGACACAAAAGTGCCCATTCGAACTTTATATACTCATGCCAATGATGGTCGTCACCACCCTCCCCACCCCAACCCCACACACACCCCACATCCCCACCCCACACCCCCTCTCCAATAAAAAAAATTGAAGGGGGTGACAACCATTATTGGCATGAGTATATTTTCTATTTTCTAAACCATGTGATTAATGCGGCCACAAAGTCAATATTATGGAGACATTTTTCGGTCGCATATTTTCATTTTGTATCAGATCCATTTTCTAAATAAAACAATATTGTGTACAACTGGCTACTGGATGATCAGTGGTATTCCTCAATACGTGTGAGTTCTCAGCTAATTTCATTCCTGATACCAGACAAGATGTCTGTTGCTCATTCATTACATGGATTTAAGGATGCAACTTGTCAGAGCAGCTGGGTAGTAATGAGAAGGATTCATGAGAAACTTCCTTGGTTTTGTTACCAGGTGTAGCCTCTTGCCAAGTAGAATGAAAGAATCCAAATATTATATAATATGAATAAGAGGCCTTAAATAAAATCTCGGGTGGATGTTTCAATAAGCAGCTTCTTCTCTGAATGAAGAAAATATCCATTGTATTCTCCTGCAGTATCAGTTTTGAAATTCTGAAAAACTTTGAAATTTAGGATCATAATTGAGGTTTTATTTATCACCAAACACATCAGTCTAGCTAAGACAAGCCCTGTCTGGTACTACAGAGGACAAACATTTTTGCAGATTGTTAATCCCAATTATCCGACGCCCATGTTTTCTTACGGTTCCACTGCGTTTATTACTATCTTCATCTCAATCAATGAATCTTCTCCTCTGTCAGCAGAAATACAAACAACGATTTATCGTCTGCTTCTGCACACAAGAGCACATTCCTGTCCCTCTCAAGGAGACATTCCCTCCCTGTCTTTATCTCTATTTTCGGTATTCAACAAATTAACCGCTATTTTGTCATTTACGACAAGTAGAAGCATTTCCGGTGGACATCGGAGATTCCCTGACGTTGACGTTTTATATTCAAAATGTAAAATTGTCATTTCTTTCTTTGAACTCGTAGTATTTCACATGTAATAACTCAGCTGTACACAACGAACTGCGATGCCTTAATCAATTTGCCTACCTGTGTCCCAAGAGCCAATACTGCCTGTAAATACACACACACGCACCACACACGTCAATATCTTCATGTGAATCATTGCCCACACGGCAGGGGTCGATGGGGTCTTCTATGATGTTTTCTTCCTCACAATCAAAGTATCTTCTCCTCTGTCAGCGGAAATGCAGCCAACGATTGTATGTCCGCTTCTTCTGCGAACGAGAGCACATTCTGTCTCTTGAGGATTCTGTGTTCGTCAACCAGAGATATTCTCTCATTGTCTTTATCACTATTATGACTCAGTCAACACATAACGTGCTCTTTTGTCTTTTGTAACAAACAAACTGTTCGAGTGGAAAAACAAGATTAGGTGTTCCCTGATGTTGACGTTTGATATTAAAAATGTAAAAGAGTCATTTCGTTCTTAGAACTCACTGTTTCACATGTTGGAACACAACTTTGCACAGCGAACGGCGGTGACTTCAGCAAATGGCCCATCCTTGACCTAAGAGGCAATAATGACTGTAAATACACCACACCACGAGCGTCATGTGAATCATGCTCACACGGTTGGAGTTGATGGCTTTACTAAGGATAGTGTCTATTCCTGGATGGTATAGTTGTAAGTTTCTACGCTGGATCAACAAAACTGGGTAAACAGCATGCACAGCAGTAAGTCTCGCCGGTAAAAGATAAAAAGAAAGGTAGAGCTGGTGAGTGAGTTTGGTTTTACGCCGCTGTTTAGCAATTTTCTAGCAAAATCACGGCGGGTGACACCAGAAATGGGCTTCACATATACTGTAAGCCATTAAAAACGCAATTTGACATTCATACTTTCTTTACTCACACTAATTTCAACATATATAAACCTAACTGGCAGATATGTTTTAAGTGAACATCTGTGAATAATTTCATCTGAAAATGTCCAGTCAACAACAACATCAGTGACGCAACAACGACATCCAACATAGGAGGGGTCACTTGCAGTCAATATCGTGTGTGTCCACTGTGCGCTGCAAGACATGCTCGCAGTCTTTGGGGAATTGAAAGACACACATTTCTCAGGAACAGCTGTTGGATGGTCTGCAGCCTCTGATGGTCTGTGGTCTGATCATGACACCACCCCTTTCAAATCGATCATGTTCAAGGACACAGTTTGGCGCAAGTCTTTCTCCTTTACGTCGATAAATCTGTGGACGTCCATCTGCAAAGGATAAGTTAAACCCGGATTCATCTGAAAAAATGACATCTGACCAAGTCCTGTTGCCAAGATTGGCCCCCATTTGCTGCCCAGCGCTGTCTGGCATGTCTGTGGCGATGCAATAAGGTTGGACCACGGTACGGGTGACGACACCGGATGTTGAAGGCAGGAAGGCGTCCTTGCACCTTTTGGGCGCTGAAATGACGTTGACTTTTCCCAATTGTCCTCCTTGCCTAATCATCAGATGTTTGGAACCGATT